TGCTGCTTGGCCTGCTGTGTTCATCCAGCCCTGCACCTTGTTGTCTCTTAAACTGAAAACTGTTGTTAATCTGTAGTTGCTGCTCTTACCTTTACATACTTATCTGAACAAGAATATGATATCTGCCATTCAGTAGTCACAGAGTCATGCATTATGGAAACAGACACTTTGGTCCAACCAGTCCACATCGAACACAATCCCAAACCAAACTAGCCTCACCTTCCCGATCCTGGCCCACATCCTTCCAAGCCCCTCACACTCATGTACACATCCAAGTGTCCTCCAAACTTTGCAACTGCGCCTGCATCCACCATCTCCTCAGGAAGTCCACTCCACAAGTGCCAACGGCCCTGCTAAAAATTTGTCTCTCATGTCCTCCACAAATCTCTCTCCTCTCGTTCTAAAAATATTACTGTAGTTCCAAAATCCCCCATCCCAGGGAAAAGATACCTGTCATTAATGCAATCCATACTCCTTATGACTCTACAAGCCTCGACAAGGTCATCCCTCAAGACCCCATACTCCAGTGAAAAAAAGAGATAGACCATCCAGCGTCCCTCTACAACTCATACCCTCCACACCTGGCAACATCCCAGTAAAACTCCTCTGAACCCTCCCCAGCCCAACAACATCCTTCCTATGACAGGCAACCAGACTGGACATAACAGTCCAGAAGAGGCCCCACCAACATCCCGCCAAATCTATAAATGACCTCCCAGCCCCCACAGTCAAAGGAGTGAGCAATGAAGGCATGCATCCTCTGGCACCACATCCGTGTCTACAGCAGTAGAAAACATTATGGTCTGTGCCTTGGCAATGTCCACTCTCACTTCACTCAGTATTTTTCAAACTCTTGTACTTCATTGTCTGTAACACTCCCACTACAATTTGCTTCCTAAAGCTATTAAAAGCAACATGCCATGCCCCACATTATACGTTACACAAAAAGACCAATGCGCAAGTGGCGGGCTTTTTACCCAGCATTCCCGGCAGTGGTGAAAGTCCCCTATCCAGGTCATAGGAGAGTGGGGCAGGCACAGTACAACACATCTCGAGCATATGCAGTGATGTTTTTTTCCCCCTCATCTGCAGGCGGTGAGGATGCGGGACTGAGGAGGGAGTGGCGGGGCCTTGGGTGCACCAGGAATGTTTCTAAACACTTATTGAAGACTATAAACCCCGGTTAACAACACGCAGGTCCCGTTTTTGCATTACCGGGACCTTTATCCGGGACAGGTTCTCGTGAGTTGCTGCCAAAACAGTTAACTTACGTTCACAGAATGGGACGTCATCATCCCACCCTTCAGCTGTACATTGTCGATAAGATCTACCCACCAACTTGAATCTAGAAAATGAGAAACAAACCATTTGTAATTAGGAACCTGAAAGTTACTTCCACAATATTAGTGCTCTGACCAGGTTAGAATTCCAAAGAATCAAAGAGTAATAAATCCATCAAAATAGGAATAAACTTCATTTAAGATAAAAGATGGCGCAAAGTCTGCAGATTCATGAAGGAATTCAATACAGTTGTGTTGATGATAAAATGTTATGTTCTGACCATATATATTGATGTATCTATCTCTCTTCACAGCTGATTTACAAACCTTCAAAATCTTCTACAACTTCTTTCATTTCAATTCACCAGCAGTCATAAATGTCCAGTGTGGATCTCAGATAATGGATCCGGGATCATTAATATATTCAACATTTCCATCTTTATATTCATACATCAACCTCAGCAACAACAACATAGTAACATCGTAAGTGTGCAGGATTCATCAGTTCAATGTTAAACTAGAATAGTCACTCAGGGCTTTCAAATCAACCTGTTGGACTATAACCTGGTCTCATGTGACTTCTGACTTAATATATTCAGCATTTCCAGCTTTGGATTAATACAGCAATGCAGCAACAACAGTGAAACATCATAAGTGTGTAAATTTCTTTGAGGTTAATCTGTTCAATACTATATTAGAGTAGTCAATCAGAGCTCTCATCCAGAGCCATCATCAGAAGTAGCATGCATGAGAAATGGCTGTCTGAAGTTGTCTTAATCACAGCATTAAAATAACACTGTCCATCATCAAAATCTGTTCAGTGATTTATTTACTGAATACTCACCCAAAGTCACAATAAAAAATAACTTTATTTGCAACTGTCTCATTTAGAAACTCATAATGCCCGTTCAGAATCTCTCCAGGGTCACCACAGGTTATTGCTGCACAGAAAAAAAAATGAGGAGATATAAATGTCACAAAACCTAAAAGACTCCAGCAGCTTCTTTAATATTTTATGCAACATCAAGATGAATACAATAAATGGGGCGGCACAGTGGCTCAGTGGTTAGCACTGCTACCTCATGGTGCTAGGGACTCCAGGTTCAATTGAACTCCAGGTTCAATGGAGTTTGCACATTCTCCCTGTGTTTGTGTGGGTTTCCTCTGGGTGCTCTGGTTTCCTTCCACAGCCCAAAAATGTGCAAGCTGGGTAGATTGCCCATAGTGTTCAAGGATGTGTAGATTAGGTGGGTTAAGAAAGTTCTCTGAGGGGTGGTGTGGACTTGTTGGGCCGAAGGGCCTGTTTCCATACTGTAGGGATTCTATGAAACTGCCTGCATCATTAAGAATTCAGTTTTCATTATTCTAGCAACACAAAGGCAAGACTCTCTCTTAATCTGCTATACCTCACAAGAACGGGGCATTGTCCATCTACAGAAGAACTATATATCGACATGCATCAGTCTCCATCTGCAATCCTAAATCAAAATGCTAACAAACCACCCACTGAAGTCACAGGCTGGCAGTGTTCCACTGTCAGCCACAACACCAGCTGTGGTAGCTCCTGATGCTGTTGATCCTCCAAGGCTCAGTCCAGGGATCGCTGCTGGATCCAAAACTTGGCTGTATGCCTTTAGTGTACAATAATTAATTGGAAGTGTCTCAATCATTTTGCATGGACATGCAGATAAGTTACTTTACAGAAAAGGGAACAATAACTCACGTTCACATGATGGAACCTCGCCATCCCAACCCTCAGCTGTACATTGTCGATATTCTCTGCCAATAATTTTGTAACTACAACAGAAATAGAGCAACCTATTATTAGATAGGATGGTTCACTGAAAAAGGGTGCCAGTGCACTGACATGGTAAAAAGAATCTAAGTTTCAGGGTAAAACTTTATTAAACAAGCTATTTATAAAAATAATATAAAACTGCAGAACATTCAAAATGAATGAAATGCTGTTACAGTGTAGCTGAAACTAAAATTGCTCATTGGTCACAATACCAAGTACAAGGCACAGGAGAAACATTGGAGAATAAAACTCACTTTTGCACTGACATCTGATATGATTTAAAAATTTTGAAGATCCAGCAAACATACACACCACTTTTGATTTCAGATTACAAACTTTTGACAAATGAGCTGTTGCATCCTTGCATTAATATTCGTATTACACAACCACTGTCCCATGCCTTGATCAGTACAGTGGATTTTTTTTAAAGTTGTTGGTTGAATACCACAATGAAAGCCTCCCTCATTGTTAATAAGAAAAGATTTCATCACAAAAATAATGAAGGTATGATCATTTTAAATCATCCAAATCACAATATTAAAGTAATGTAGTGAATAATTAAAAATTATTCCATCATTTATATTCTAAATACTCACCCAATATCACAATAAAAGGTAACATTACTACCAACTGTCCAATTTGGTGCTTTATAATATCCGTGCAGAATTGTACCAGGGTTACCACAGTTTATTGCTATAAAGGAAACAACATGTGAAAAGGTAGAACCCAATTTGTCATTGCCATTGACAGATATATATCATGAAGATATAATAGTACAGAATTGCAGAGAAATACAAGTTTCTGTAAATTTGGACTGCATTTTTCTAAATTACGGCATTTCAATTGCAAGATTTTCTCTGAATTCCAATACTTCATTGAATCTGGTCTCTGTTTGAACATCAAGAATCGTGACAAGAAATCCAAAAACAACATGGCCAGATTTAGGCCTTAGACCAGGGTTCTAAACATCAATGGATGAACCAGTGGGAACCCCACGTCAACTCTATATGTTGAAAGTACAATTTTATTTAAGGTCCCTCAGGCGCTTAGCTGGCCAACAGGGGTATTTCATGTTATCAAAGCCAGAGGTGGTTCTCCATTGCTGGCTACACTACCAGCACCTTATGAAAGTATGAATGGTGACTGCTGATTTTGTTGCTCCAAGTCCAAGGAAAGACATCTCTGTAGCATTGCTGCAGGGGAGGTATTAGCCTAGTAGTATTATCGCTAGACTATTAATCCAGAGACCCAGATAAAATTCTGGGGAGTTGGGTTCGAATCCCGCCACGGCAGATGATGGAATTTGAATTCAAGAAAATATCTGGAATTAAGAATCTAATGATGACCATGAATCCATTGTCGATTGTTGGAATAACCCATCTGGTTCACTAATGTCCTTTAGGTAAGGAAACTGCCATCCTTACTTGGTCTGCCCTACATGTGACTCCAGACCCACAGCAATGTTGCTGATTCTCAACTGCCCTCAGGGCAATTAGGGATGGGCAATAAATGCTGCCTAGCCAGTGACAACCTCATCCTGTTAATGAATAAAGGAAAAAAAAACACAGGAGATAGGGCCAGGTCAGCAGTCATTGGAATTGCAAGAAGTTCAAGAGACAGGACAGCAAAATGCCTGAGTGAAGGAAACTTGGATGTCAACCAACATTACAGGATAATTCATTGACAGCAGCTCAATCAATTGGTACAGACAAGAATGCCACTTTACAAAACAGGGAAATCTAACTTACGTTCACAGGATGGAACATCCCCAAGCCATCCCTCAGCTGTACATTGTCGATAATCTCTGCCCACCATCTTGTATCTAGGGAAAAAGAGAACAGAATTCATCCATTTGTATTAATGAACTGCATGTTAATTTGGGAAGTTGTACAATTTGCAGATCAGATAAGAAATTAAGGTCCAGAGACCAACCTTGTATTCACTTATCAACAAGCATTAGACAGTAAATGGCAATGTGAGAATAGCTGACCAGAAAAATGAATTTTTAATCAAATAGTATTGTTCTGTAAATAAAAGCATTGTTGATCAGACTTCGTATAAAATACAAATTACAAGAGGAACAGATGTGCCAGCTCACCATGGAACTAATGACAGTTGATGAACACAGCCGACAAAATTATCCAGTGTTGATCACAGTGTATGGTTCTGGGCATCACCAACACATTTAATTTATCTATCTGTCTATACATATTCCAAACCTATGCAGTAACATCCCTGAACTTGATGTGCATAAAGACATTTTTTTAAATCAAATTGCCTGCTCAGCATTGAATTGCAAGCCTGACTTATACTGACATGGAAAATGCTTATCAGACATGCAAATGAAAAATAATATGATCACAAATAATTGTGTGATTATAGATTATGATAGTAACCTTTCAGCAAAATGACTCACCCAACGTCACAATAAAAGGTCACTTTATTTCCAACTGTGTCATTTGAGGCTGTATAATATCCATTCAGAATTTTGCCAGGGTTACCACAGTTTATTGCTACATAGCAATTGAAAGAAGGAAAAGATAGAAATATCACAAACTTCAACATCTTCAACAGTTCTGTCATTGCAATTACATTTATAACATGTCATATCCTATGCAATGTCACAATTTCTTAATGTAGCAAATTACGTGAACTTTGGAATCCAATTTCCATAATTTTTCAAAATGGTTACTAGAATGCAATAATTTACTCTATAGGAGTCAGAACTTGCCCAGTATCAAGATGATAATTGTGCAATTGCTGGGCAAGAAATGTCATTCTTATACCAGACTCCTGAAGCAACTACTCTACTTGGAAATCATCCATGACAGGACCCTCTCAAATGGACAACAATTAAGTTTTAAGATTGTCCTCAAAGCATCTCTGAAGAGATCAACATTACCTGTCAACTTGGGATTCCCTGGCTTGTGATTCAACAAATGGAGAAGATACATTCCGGTAAATATTGAACATAGAAAGTTTGTCAGGAACATACAGAAGTAATGTTGAGGCCTTTGTGGAAGTACACAATTGCACCAATAACTCGGCTACCCGACCATCCAAATGCCACCTGCTCTAAACTTGGCAGAGTTTGCAAATTACACATTGGACTTAATAGCAATCTCAGAACCCACTGAAACAGAATGTAAGCAAGTCACACCTGATCCTCAGTGACTAACTAAGAGGGAAATGAGAGTACACCAATGTGGCCGAGCGACATAAGGTGTCTTTGCCATCTCAAATACCACGTACTTTTGCTTCCATAGCATTCTTTGCTCCACCTCAGCACCAACACCACAAAAGTCTGTTTGTGTTCTTGCCAATTCCTCTAAAATTATTACTTTCACTCAGGCGTAATCAACATGTGCTGCACTAACACAACTAATTCCATAAGATGCACATACTGGTCTTATTGGAGCATGAGATCAAATTGGAAAAAGAAAAATAAGGGAGTATATATTTTATTTAATTATATACTACTAATATTGTCTGCAGTTTTCCTTAACATGTCATTTTCATCCTGAATTTCCAGTTATATACTTCTGAGTTACTCTAAAGTCATCCTAAAAAAAGAACAAACCCACATCAAAATCCTGCTCAATGCTTCAATACTAACATTTGCATGAGGGCAGATAATTAAATTCTGTTATAAAAAAAACTGATTTGATGAATGGTTATGTCTCAAATCATGCTTTAGTTTTCTTTAACATTCATGTTTTCTCTATTCCAGATAGAACTCCAAGATGGACAAATATTGCAAGGAAGAAAACATGGAATTGAATCAAAACTCCAATACTGTACTGAGTGTGTCTCAGTCATTTGACAGAGCAGATCAGTTTCCCACCTAAATAAAAAATGAAACAGAACTTACGTTCACAAGATGGAACTTCACCATCCCAACCGTCGGGTGTACATTTCCGATAACGGTTTCCAAGCATTGTATATCTAGAATTTTAAAAAATCACCTGTTATCAGACATCGTCAGGATAATTGGCAAAATATTACAGTGTACTGACCAGGCATGAATTATAAGGTCCAAAGAAGAAAAGACTTAAAATCCAAAAATATCAAGCAATCGGTAAAATCAAGCATTTTACCAAATTACACTCTGGTGTCAAATGTTTGCCAAGTCACTTCACATTTTAAATTCCCTTCCAAAACTAAGTCAGTCAAACAATGAAAGAATCAGGCTTACTGCGATAACATGAAGACAAGTACAAGAGATGGACAGACATCTGAAGTATCTTCATGACAACATTGAAATTATATGGTTCATCAACATACTGAATACTGAATACTCACCCAATATCACAATAAAAAGTAACTTTGTTTCCAACTGTCTTATTTGGTGCACTATAATATCCATTCAATATCTCGCCAGGGTTACCACAGGTTATTGCTGCACACAAAATAAAATGAGAACAGATAGAAATGTAACAAACTTCTAACAGCTTCTTTCATTTCAGTTCACAGATACTAAGCATGAAGGTGAATAACTACAACAAAACCTGCCCACTATGCCAAGTTACTCTAACTGAGTACAACTGTTTTCAAAATAATAACACAACTGGAGGACTTCCGCTCAGTTCACACTCCCACAGAACAACAGGTCCATTTGCTTCAATAGATCTAGTATTGACCAGCATCAATCTTAACTTACTAACTAAATGCTGACAGACAAGCAGACATGGAGGAGCTGAGGTATTCATGTATCTGAGCCGTAGTCACTAAAAAATTATGTAAAGTTACAAAATATATTCAAAACTTTTCATTCAACAGTTTTCATCATTGCAAGGGCATGGGATCACATTAACAGGAAATATCTTCTAAGATTCTGATCCATCTCAATGATCATTTATTTCCACTTTGACAGAATTACCTGTCTTCCCTCAATGGTACCACCACCAAATCCATTTTTTAACTTTTGTTGCCTCAATAAAGCCCATTATTTTCACTCAAATATCAATTAATGCAACTTTCCATTTGATAACAATAAAGCAATTAATTCAGTGGGGTAAAGTCTAATAGGATCTTTGAACAAGAATGGAAGAAAAAGAAAACAGAGTAGAAAAATTGATTACACTTTGCCTTTGGCTTCCACTTGCTTCCCCTGAGTTCCCCAAGGTCCAAATGACTACTGCCTGCCAACTTAAGCTCCACTAACATTAGCAGCTTCTAACTTCTCATTGCACACTATGACTCTACTCCTTGCTCCAACACTATCTGCGGACCTAGGGCTAGGGCAGAAGAGTAATGACTTCAGAAGGGGCAGGCTTTATTTGACAAATGGTCATTTCTCATTTCACACACCATGTACTTTAATCTGTAATGTTAAATAAAGCTTTGATTTGATGTTCTCTCCCATTCCAAGACATCAGAATTCCATGCGACAGGATACCAAACACCTGAATGGAAGAAAGTTTTGATGCCAACCAATACTACACAACAATTTATTGGAAGCATATTAATCAATTTGAACTGACCACTAAATTAGTTGCTTTGCAAAACAAGGAAACATAACTTACATTCACAGGATGGGAAATTACCATCCCAACCTTCAGCTGTACATTGCCGATAATCTCTACCCACTATCTTGAATCTAGAAAAAGAGAAGTGAACCACTTGTATCAATAAGCTGGAGGGCACTTGGGCGATATTCGTCCACTGACTAGATTAAAAGGTCCAAAGGCAAATAAATCTATTTAAATAGCAATAAACTTCAAAACATCTTAAAAATGGCAGTGGCTCAGTGGTTAGCACTGCTGCCTCACAGCACCAGGGATCCGGGTTCAATTCCACCTTTGGGCGACAGTCTGTGGGGAGTTTGCACATTCTCCCTGTGTCTGCGTGAGTTTCCTCCGGGTGCTCCGGTTTCCTCCCACAATCTAAAGATGTGCAGGCTAGGTGGATTGGTCATGCTAAAATGCCCCTAGTGTTCCGGGATGTGTAGATTAGGTGGGTTATAGGGGTATAGGTTTGGGTGGGATGCTCTGAGGGTTGGTGTGCACTTGTTGGGCCGAAGGGCCTGTTTCCACACTGTTGGGATTCTATGAAAAAATGGGACTAGGTCCGCAGATTAATGAAAGAATAAAATACAATTATCTTTTAAAATAAGAAGGGCTGATCAGACTCCATATAAATTACAGTGTACAATAGAAATATTGATGCATCGTGCTAACTTTAGAGTTGATTTACTAATTCAAACAGTTGAGAAACCAGTAGACTCAAACATCTGTTGTTGATCTCAGATTATGGGTCTAGGAACCATTAATACATTCAGCATTTCCAACTGTGCATTATTATTCCAATATAAGCTCTAATGTCACTGACTTTAATCAGTATAGCGTTTATTTTAAAAATTCTCAGTTCAACACTAAATTGGAATATTCAATCACAGCTCACATGCAAAGCCATTGTCAGAAATATCATGCAAAAGTGATGTCAGTCTGAATTTCTTGTAATCATAGCATTAAAATATCAGACTTTCACCAAAATTGTTTCAATAATTTATTGACTGAATACTCACCCAAAGTCACATTGAAAAAACAGTTTATTTCCAACTGTCTCATTTGGTGTCGTATAATATCCATTCAGAATCTCCCCAGGGTTTCCACAGGTTATTGCTGCACAGAAAATACAATTAGATAAGCTAGAAACAAAATTCTGAACTTTACATTAGCAATTTCCACTGAAATATTTAACACAAATGTGAATAGCACAGTGAAATTGACAACAATATCAGGTTATCCCAAATTTGGAATTCAGTTTTCAGAGATACGGCAATACAAAATCAAGACAATTTTCTTGATCTATACAACTTCAGAATAAGAAGTTGCTGCCTGTTTGCAACAGCACTATGAATGAACCTGCACCAATCTACAGCAGCAATTCAACATCATACATGATTGGTATCCATCTTCACAAGCCACTGCTAAGCAGCATTACATTGCTGGCAGTATGTTTATGACTCGTGGCTGCTGCCATTTATGCTCCAGGACACAGAAAAGGATCTCCACTGAATCCCAGGACATCAGTGATATGAATGGGGGTTGGGACAGTGAGGAGTAAAGTCAGTCACTAGAGAACTGTGTGCAGCAAGTCACAAGGAAGGGCATTAAAATGGCTTTCAACACTGTCCCCCTTCCTTACAGTGGGTCCTATGATTGGGCACTGAGTGACAGACAATGACAGAACACCATGACAAGGCTGCAGTATTTTATGAGCTGCCTCAGGAGTCATGGGAGAGCCACACGTGTCCCAATCAATTGATGAGGCATAACTAATCTCTAATGGGAAACAAAGAAACATAAATTGCTGGAAAATCTCAACTTGTCTGGCAGTATTTATGAAGAGAAATCAGTCAATGCTTCAGGTCCAGTAACTCTTCTTCAGACCAGGAATGGGACCAGGGATAATTGCTCTCAAGTGGTTCAACGGCCATCTGATGGACTTTTGCTTTGAAACCCACCATCCACAGCAGACCCCACTCTTCGGGTCAGATGAATGAAATCCTCCAATCCCATCATTGAGAATCCCTGGGACTGGGAATCCAGACAAAGCCAACAGCAATCCACCACAGCAATCCTCAAATCAGGCTGACACCAGACAAAGGAGTAACAAGCATAATTCCACACATTGCATCATTTGCTGATAGTTTAATTTCCATGGGCCCAAATTGCTAAATCCAAGCTGCAACTAAAATGAGTACCTCCCAAACATTCCATCATCTACCGAAACTGAGTCCTTTGCTCCAAACTAACATGACGCTGAGGTAGAAAAATATATTCTTCTGGAAGGAGTAGGAATGATTTGATAACTGGTCATTTCTCATTACACCTGCCATTTCATTTCCATATGCAACGTGAGTCAAAAATCAAAACAAATCTTTTCTCCCATTCAAAGAGGGAATTGCAAGAGTGAGGATTTCAAATTAGCATAAGGCAGGAAATTTGGACATGAGCCATAATTACTCACTGTATGTGACTCAGTCATTTTTTCGGACATGCAACTCAATCACTTTACAAAATAGAGAAATATAACTCACGTTCACAGGATGGAACCTCACCATCCCAACCATCAGAGGTACACTGTCGATAATCTCTGCCAATAATTTTGTATCTGGAAAAGAATGGTAAACCACCTGTTATCGGACATGAAGATTAACTGAGAAAATGTGTCACTGGGCAGCAAGTGTAGGAGGTGAGTGGCTGATAAATGAAAAATCTACTCAACTGTCAATAAAGAAAAATGAATCGAATGTTGCACTAGGGTAGCAGAACAATGAAATAGGAATCAAATGCTCTTGCATTTCAGTTTTAAAGACACCCTATAAAAGTACAGTACATATTCAAAACATTGGCACATAAAATTCATAGTCATGCTGCCTTCAAATATAAGTTAAACGTATTGTAGGAACAGCACCAAGGCACTATAACCCACCTCTTCCTCTGCTACATCGATGACTGTATCGGCACTGCCTCGTGCTCCCACGAGGAGCTTGACCAGTTCATCAACTTTACCAACACCTTTCACTCCAATCTCAAATTCACCTGGACCATCTCCAAAACCTCCCTCTCCTTCCTGGACCTCTCTGTCTCCATATCTGGTGACAGCCTTGAAACTGACATCTATTTCAAACCCACCAACTCCCACAGTTACCTAGGCTACACCTCCCCTCACCCACCTTCCTGCAAGAGTGTGATCCCTTACTCCCAATTCCTCTGCCTCTGCCACGTCTGCTCCCAAAATGGGGCGTTCCACTCCCACTCATCCCAAATGTCCTCCTATTTCAAGGACCGCAACATCCCCCCTTCCGTGGTTGAAAATACTCTCGACCACATCTCGTGTTTCCCGCACCGCTGCCCTCACATCCCCTCCCCGCAACAAAACAAAGACAGAATCCCCCTTGTCCTCACATATCACCCCACCAACCTCCGTATCCAACGTATCATTCTCCGCCACCTACAATCCGACCCCACAATCAAAGATATATTTCCCTTCCCACCCCCATCTGACTGTTGTAGGCACAGCTCTCTCGGCGACCCGTTCAACCGCTCCTCACTCCCCACTAGCCCCACGACCCTTGGCACCTTTCCCAGCAACCATAGGGAGTGCTACCCTCCCCCATCACCTCCATTCAAGGCACCAAACAAACCTACATTAGACAGAGGTTCACCTGCACATCCGTCAACGTGATCTATTGCATCTGCTGCTTCTGATGTGGCCTCCTCTACATTAGTGAGACCAAGTGGAGTCTCGCAGACCATTTTGTAGACCACCTGTGTTCTGTTCGTGACAAACGACAACACCATCCGGTGGCAAAACATTTTAACTCCCCCTCCCACTCCCTGGGTGACAGGTCCATCCTGGGCCTCTTCCGGTGTCACAATGACACCACCCTTAAACTGGAGGAGTAGCACCTCATATTCTGCCTCAGGAGCCTACAGCCCAATGGCCTAAATGTGGATTTTACCAGTTTCAAAATCTCCTCATCCCATGACCAACCCTCCCTCTCATCCCCGCCTCCTTGACCTGACACAACCTGTCCATCTTCTCTCACACCTATCCGCCACTCCCACCTCACTGACCAATCCCGACCACTGCCTATATGCACTGACCCATCACCATCCCACCTACCTTCCCCAGCCCCAGCCCTCCTCTCTATTTATTTCTCCCTTCCCCCTCCCCATTTCTGAATAAGGGTCCCGATGTGAAACGTCAGCTTTCCTGCTCCTCTGATGCTGCCTAGCCCGTGTGTTCACCCAGCTCCACACTGTTATCACCAAGGGACGTCTGGTTTGTATCTCAGTATGTGGATCTTCCTACCAATAACACATTTAACAGTTTTATTTTTGCATTCATTTTCCTATTACAACACTAACATTCTCCACCTTGATCATTACCAATGGTTTTGTTTAACTTGTTCATTGACCACTAGAATGGAAGCCTCACTCAGAGATAATATGAAGAGTATCCATGACAAAAAGATTGAATGTGAGGTCATCCAACACTGTCTTAATCATTTCTTTATCATACTACAGCGTTTCACTAAAGTTTTTCAGTGAGTTATGAACTGAAGACTCACCCAATGTCACAATAAAAGGTAACATTACTTCCAACTGTCCATTTTGATGCTTTATAATATCCATTCAGAATTGAACCAGGGTTTTCACAGTTTATTGCTAAACAGAAAATAAAATGATAAGCAGCAAAAATTTCAGAAAAATCTAAATTCCCCATCAGACTTCTTCACTGTAATTAGCCCATCTCTAACCTGAAGATGAAATGTATTACTTACACAATTGCACAGATTATTATGTTATCTTAGTATCGAAATTCATTATCCAATTTTATGGTATTATAAATACAGGACCTTCTCTACACCCACGGTCCCTCATACCACCTGGTCACTAAATGGACCAAAACAATCCTCAACAGAAATTCAAGAACATAATGGACTGATTTCATTCTATCAACAGAACCATCAACATCTGTTGATGAACCACTTCCATGGAGAAGGCCCAATTTGATATGTGCCCCTTGGTCAACTTGGGCCTTCCATGTAACCAAAGTCTCAGGTGTGGAAAATGCCCTCCCCATGAGCTGCCAGACACAGAGTGGCAGTTCTCCATCGCCAGCAACTCTATCAGGAGCAATGTTCCAATGCCCAGCCTGAGGATCTATGCTGGCTTGCAGAGCACAGGTGTCTGGAGTAGGGAGGGGTCACTGGAGAAGGTTTGATAATAATGCCTACAAGCATGTCCACACTCTGTTTGAATCCATTAAATTCCAGTCAATGTCAGCTATCCATCTACTCACTAAATGTTTAGGATTAGCAGCCATGGGGGGCAAAAGATATTTAAGAGTCCATTTACAAAAATTTCTGAAAATTAGAAGACATTCCAGCTCTTCTCTACACAGAAAATAAAATGATAAGCAGCAAAAATTTCAGAAAAATCTAAATTCCCCATCAGACTTCTTCACTGTAATTAGCCCATCTCTAACATGAAGATGAAATGTATTACTTACACAATTGCACAGATTATTATGTTATCTTAGTATCGAAATTCATTATCCAATTTTATGGTATTATCATGGCAGTGGATGATGTATTGCATGAGGTTTATAAGTCTGAACACTGTGTGTGTGGCTATTCATTATCCTACTACCGCCATTTCATTGGTCAGTGTGAATGCCCACTTAACACAGCATCTCGACAGTGATCAACTCTCCCTCTCCAACATGCCCCCTTCAGGTGTGTCAGGTCCCAGGTAGGATTTTGGGCTCAGGCCTCTGGTGGATGTTTGTCTGGTCTGCTGAGGGGCATCAGGCCAGCGCTGATGCTTTTTGGGTATAGGGTACGGAGGCAGTCGCAGGTTGGTTTGGAGAAAGGTTTTTGGATTGAGGGCAGTGTTCTCACCAGCTGAGTTCAGGAGAGGTGAGGCTAGGCAATGGAAGCAAAGTGGGCAGTGTTGGCTCCAGGGTGCCACGTCCAACAAGGTCAGGCTGAGGTGGGGGTGCGGGTGAAAGTCGGGTCCATTCAGGGAGTGGCTGTCATGAATCCTGAGGGTGACAGCGTATTTTTGAAATCCCTCACCTTAGGGAAAAGACTCCTGCTATTCACCTTATCTGTACCCCTCGTGAATTTATAAACTTCTATAAGGTCACCTTTCAACTTACTGTGCTCAAAAGTAAAATGTCCCAGCCTATCCTTATAACTCAAACCCTGCATTCTCAGGCGGTATGGTCACTCAGTGGTTAGAGACCCAGGTTCAATTCCAATCTCAGGTGACTGTGTGGAGTTTGCACATTCTCCCTGTGGGTTTCCTCTGGGTGCCTCCCACAGTCCAAAGATGTGCATGTTAGGTGGATTGGCTATGCTAAATTGTCCAGTAACCCAAGGGTGGATTGGAACCTGAGTTCCTGGTACTCTGAGGCAGCAGTGCTAACCACTGAGCCACCATGCTGCCCATAGCATCACACAGAAACACACACTTTAGTCCATACCGAACACAATCCCAAACGAAACTAGTCCCACCCAACTGCTCCTGGCCTACATCCCTACAAGCCCATCCCACTCACGTACCAATCCAAGTGTCTTCCAAATGTTGGAACTCCACTCGCATCCACCACCTCCTCAGGAAGTCTACTCCAGAATGCAAACTACCCCTGTTCAAAACATTTTCCCCTCATATCCTGCCCAGATGTCTCTCCTCCCACCCTAAAAATATGCCCCCCCAGTTCAGAAATGCCCCACCTCATAGAAAAGGCACCCACCATTAACCACATCCATACCCCTCATGATTCTACAAACCCATACAAGGTCACCTTTCAACCTCCCACACTCTAGTAAAAAAAGTCCCAGTCCATTCAGCAACCCCCAAAACTCAAATGCCTCACACCCGGCAACATCCCGGAAAATCTTCTCTGACCCCTCCCAGCCCAACATCCTTCCTATAACAGAGCAACCAGAACTGGTCACAGCACTCCAGAAGAGGCCCCACCAACATCCCTCACAACCTCAACACGATCTCCCAACTCCCACACTCAAAAGGCTGAAGGCAAGCGTCCTCTGGCACCACCTCCGCATCTACAGAAGTCTGAAAAATTATGGTCAGTGCCAGGGCAATTTCCACTCTCACTTCCCTCAGTATCTGTCGAACTCTTGTACTTCACTGTCCTTCTCAAACTCCCACTACAATTTGTCCCCTAATCTTTTTGATAGCAACACGCCCTGCTCCACACTCCATGTTACACCAAAAGACCAATGTGCAAGTGGCGGACTCTTTACCCACCATCCCAGATGGTGGTGGAAGTCCCCTATCCAGATCACAGGAGAGCGGTGCGCAGTCACAGTACAATCCCAGTGCCTTCAGCATGCGCAGTGATTGTGCAGATGTTGAGGATTTGGGACCGAGGAGAGAGTGTCAGAGCCTTGGGCGAAGGTGGGGTGCGGGGAGGGAGCAGTGGATCAGAAACGTTTCTAAACACTTATTAAAGAACCTCGGTTAACAACCTGCAGGTCCCATTTTATCGCACTGGGACAAGGTTCTTGTGAGTTGCTGACAAAACAGTGAAACATAACTTACGTTCACAGGATGGGACATCACCATCCCAACCCTCAGCTGTACAATGTCGATAACCTCTACCCACTATCTTGTATCTAGAAAATGAGAAACAATCCATTTGTAATTAGGAATCTGAAAGTTACTTCCACAATATTAGTGCTCTGACCGGATTAGAATTCCAAAGGATCAAGGAGTAACAAGTCCATCAAAACAGGAATAAACTTCATCAAAGATAAAAGATAGTACTAGGTCCGCAGATTCATGAAGGAATTTAATATAGTTGTGTTGATAAAAATAAATGTGCTCTGACCGTATATAAATTATATTGATATATCTGTCTCTCTTCACAGCAGATTTACATTACAACGGTCAGCCCTTATGGTGGAACCAGCAGACACAAATGTCCAGTATTTATTTCAGATAATGGATCCAGGGATCATTAATATATTAAACATTTCCCTCTTTGCAATCCCAGCAACAACAAAACAGAAACTTCATTAGTGTGTAGATTTCTTTTAAGATTTGTCACCTCAAAGCTAAACTAGAAGTCAATTAGAGCTCTGATGCTGAGCCATCATCAGAAATGTTACACATGAGAGAAAGACATTCTGTCTGAAGTTGTCTTAATCACAGCATTATAAACATACTGCCCAACACTAAAATCTGTTCAGTAATTTATTTACTGAATACTCACCCAAAGTCACAATAAAAAATAACTTTATTTGCAACTGTCTCATTTAGAGCCTTATAATGCCCATTTGGAATCTCTCCAGGGTGACCACAGGTTATTGCTGCACAGAAAATACGTGATGGAATTGAAATGTTACAAAACACAAGATTTCAGCAGTTTCATTCATGTAATACACAACATGTAGATGAATTCAATGAAACTCCCCACATCATCAAGAATTCAGTTTTCATTATTCTATCAACACAAAGGCAAGAATTACTCTGCTACATCTCATAATATCAGGGCACTGTCCATCTACAGAAAAACTGTACATTGACTTGCATCAGTCTTCACATGCAGTCCTAAATGCTAGCAAACCACCCACCGAAGCCACAGGCTGGCAGTGTTCCATTGTCAGCCACATCACCAGGTGTGGTAGCTTCTGAGCTTGTTGATCCTCCAAGGCCCAGTCCAGGGATCTCTGCTGGATCCAAATCTTGGCTGTATGCCCATAATATACAATAATTAATTGGAAGTATCTCAATCATTTTGCATGGACATGCAGGTAAGTTACTTTACAGAAAAGGGAACAATAACTCACGTTCACACAATGGAACCTCGCCATCCCAACCCTCGGCTGTACATTGTCGATATTCTCTGCCGATAATTTTATATCTACAACAGAAACAGAGCCACCTGTTATCAGACGTGAGTATTCACTGAAAAAGTGTGCCAGTGCACTGACAACATAAAAAAATCTAAGTTTCATAGAGTAAAAATTTATTAAATTTATTGAACAAACTAACTATTTATAAATATAACATTACAGAACATTCAAATTGAATGAAATGCAGTTACAGTGCAGCCTGGGCTAAACATGCACAATGGTCACAATATAAAGTACAGGATACGGGAGAAACATTGGAGAATAAAGTTCACTTTTGCTTGGACATCTAATACGATTTAAAAATTTTGAAAATCCAGCAAACATGAACACCACTGTTGATCTCAGATTATGGATTTTGTTGAATGAACTGTTCCATTCTTGCATTAATAGTCCTATTGCACAACTACTGTACCATGCCTTGATCAATATAATGGATTATTAATTTTACATTGCCAGTTGAATACTAAAATGAAAGACTACCTGATTGTTAATACAAAGAGATTTCATCAGAAAAATGAAGAACATGTAATCATTTGAAATAATCTAAAACACAATATTAATGTAGTCAACAATTAAAAATATTCATTCATTTATATTCTGAATACTCACCCAATATCACAATAAAAGGTAACATTACTTCCAACAGTCCAATTTGATGCTTTATAATATCCATTCGGAAGTGAACCAGGGTTACCACAGTTTATTGCTATGAAGGAAACAAAATATGAAAAGGTGGAATTATTGCAAGAACCCAAAGCCCCTAACAATTATTCATTGTCATTCAAAGACATAGTACATGGACGTGGAGCATGACAAGTTTCTGTAAATTTGGAATTCATTTTTCTAAATTATGGCATTTGAAATGCAAGGTTTTCTCTAAATTTCAATACTTCACTGAAACTGGTTTCTGTACTGAGCATTATCAGTTGTGACAAGAGATCCAATAACAACATGGCCTGATTTAGTCCTAGGAATGAGGTCCTCAAAATTGGTGGATGAACCAGTGGGAACCTAAATAACATCCATATGTCGAAAGCCCAATTTGATTTAACAGCCCTCAGGCGGCCAGTGTGGGCCCTTCATGAAATCAAAGCCAGGGTGGCCGTCCATGGCTAGCTACCAGCACCTCATGGCAATATGAACGGTGACTGCTGATTTTATTGCTTCAAGTTCCAGGAAAGGCATCTCTGCTGTATCACAAACACAGGAGGCAGGGCCATGCTAGGGGTCACTAGAAATACAAGTATAAGAGAGAGGACTACAAAATGCTGGAGCTAAGAAAACTTGGATGTCTGCCAACTTTACAGGACAATTCATTGACAGCAGCTCAATCAATTGGTACAGACAAGAACATCACTTTACGAAAGAGGGGAATCTAACTTACGTTCACAGGATGGAACATCCCCAAGCCATCCCTCAGCTGTACATTGTCGATAATCTCTGCCCACCATCTTGTAACTAAGGGAAAAAGAAGAGAATTAATCCATCTGTATTAATGACTTGAATGTTAATTTAGAAAGTTATACAATTTGCAGACCAAGTAAGAAACCATGATCCAGAGAGAAACCATGTACTCATCTATCAACAGATGTTAGAGAGTTAACAGCAATGTGAGCTAAAAATGATGCTTATCAGACTTCATATAAAATACAATTTACAGGAGGAATATGATGTACCAGTGCACCATGGAATTAATTACAATGTAAGGTAAGCATTTTGAAGGACACAGCAGATAAAATCATCCAGTGTTGATCTCAATGAATGGGTTTAGACATCACCAATATATTTAACATATCTGTCTGTAGATATTTCTAACTCATGCAGTAACACCCCTGATCTTGATGTGCATAAAGACTTTTTAAAACAAATTGCCTGCTCAGCACTGAAACGGAAGCATGACTCATACTCGCATACACTTATCAGAAATGCAAATGAAAAACAAGATGATCTCAAATAATAACACAATTACAGTTTATGATAGCAACCTTTCAGCAAAATTAATCATCAATTCATGGAGCAAATACTCACCCAATGTCACAATAAAAGGTTACTTTATTTCCAACTGTGTCATTTGATGCCAAATAATATCCATTTAGAATTTCACCAGGGTTACCACAGTCTATTGCTACACAGAAATGGAAAAGATGAAATTGTAGAAATTTCACAAAACTCTAAAATCTTCAACAGTTCTGTCATTGTAATTACATATAGAACATGAAAGACACTATGCAATGTCACAATTGGTTAGAGTAACAAATTACTTGAACTTTGGAACCCAATTTCCATAATTTTTCAATATAGTTAATACAATGCAGTATTTTAGCCTATGGGAGTTAGAACTTGCCCAGGATCAAGTTGATAATCATACAAAAGCACGTCATTCTTGTATGAGACTCCTGAAGCAACTGCTCTCCTTCGGAATCATTCATGACAGGACTTGTTCAGGTGAAGTACAAACATGTTTTAAGATTGTCCTCAAAGTCCCTCTGAAGAGATGAATATAATACATCAACCCTTGCGAGTCCCTAGCTTGTCACTCAAAAACCGGAGAAGATTCATTTGGGTAAGCATTGAACATAGAAAGTCTCCGTCAGGGATACACAGAGGTGATGTTGAGACTTCTTGTGAAAGTACACAATGCCACCAACAACTCATTTACCTGATCATCCAAACACCACCTGCTCCAAATGTGGCAGAGTTTGCAAATTAATTGGATTGAATAGTAATCTCAGAACCCACCAAACCAGAATATAAGCAATCAAACTTCATCCTCAGGGACTAAGGGAGAAATGACAGAACTCTGAATTGAGAGAGTGAATTTAGTATCTTTGCCACCTCAAAGTTCATTTACTTTGGCTTCCATAGCATTCTGTTCTCCACTTCAGCACCAATACCACAGAAGTCCATCTGTGTTTTTGCCAACTCCTCTAAATTATTACTATCAGTCAGGCTTAAACAGCAATATGTGCTGCACTACCACAACTATTTTTAAGATTTAGTTACTGATTTCATTGCATCATGAGATGGAAATGGAAAAGGAAGATAACTGAGTATGAATCTGATTTGGTTATGCAACATTAATACTGTTTGCATTGTGCTTTACATCATTTTCACTTCCTGAATTCCCAATTATAAGCTTGTCACTTACTCTAAAGTCCTCCTAATGACCAACCCATGTCAAAATCCCACTCTATACTAACACCTGCATGAGGGCAGATGCTTAAATTCTGTAACAAAAAAAAACTGATTTGATGAATGACCATTTCTCAAATTACACTTTAGTTTTCTTTAACAATCATATTTCCTCTATTCCAGACAGAATTCCAAGATGGACAAATATTGTAAGGAAGAAAACGTGGAATCGAATCAAAGTTCCAACAACGTACTGAGAGTGGCTCTCTCATTTGACAGGGAACATCAGTTTGTCACTTCACTAAAGAAAGAAATAGAACTTACGTTCACAGGATGGAACTTCACCATCCCAACCCTCAAGTGTGCATTTCCGATAATCACGACCCAGCATTCTGTATCTAATAAAACAATCATCTGTTATCAAATATCTTCAGGATAATTGGAAAAATATTACAGTGTACTGACCAGGCATGGATTCCAAGGTCTCAAGACAGGCACGCTATTAAAATAGCAAGAGAGTGTTTTTTTAAAAAAAAATCAAGCCACCAGTCAGATGGGAAACATTTTACAAAATTACACTCTGGCATCAAATGTTTGCCAAGTCACTTCACATTTTAAATTCCTTTCTAAAACTAACATAATCAAACAATGAAAGAATCAGGTTTACCCTATGATAACAAAGACATAATCAGAAATGTGAATCAGAACAAGAGATGACAGTCATCTAAATTGTCTTCATCCCAACATTAAAATAATAGTCGATCAATAATTTATATATATACACTGAATACTCACCCAACGTCACAATAAAAAGTAACTTTGTTTCCAACTGTCTTATTTGGTGCATTATAATATCCATTCAATATCTCGCCAGGGTTACCACAGGTTATTGCTGCACACAGAATAAAATGAGAACAGATAGAAATGTAACAAACCTCCAAAATCTCCAACAGCTTCTTTCATTTCAGTTCACAGATACTAAGCATGAAGATGAATAACTACAACAAAACCTGCCCACCGTGCCAAGTTACTCTAATTTAGTACAACTGTTTTCAAAATTAGAACACAACTGGAGGACTTCTGCTGAGTCCACAATGTCTCAGAACAACAGGTCCCTTTGCTTCAATAGCTCTAGTATTGACTAGCATCTATCTTCACTTACTTACTAAATGGTGAAAAACAAGGAGACATGGAGCAGCTGAGGTATCCATGTGTCTGTAAACATAGGTCACTATTACAAAATATATTCAAAACTGATAATTCAATAGTCTCCATCATTTCAAGGTCATGAGATCACAAAAATGAGAAAATATCTTCCAAGATTCTGATCTATCTCAGAGGTCACTTGCCTCCACTTCCGCAACATTATCTGTTTTGCCTCAGCACCACCACCAAATCTTACGCCATTTTTGCCTTTGTTGCCTCAATAGAGTCTATTATTTTCATTCAAATATCAATTAATATAACTTTCTCTTAAGGCAGTTAATTCAACGGGGTAAAAGTCTGGTAGGATCTTTAAACAAGAATGGAAGTAAAAGGAAATGGATTAGGAGAATTGATTACACTTTGCCTTTGGCTTCCACTTGCTTCTCCTGAATTCCCCAAAGCCCAAACAACTATTGCCTATCACCTTAAGCTCCAATAACATTATCAGCTTCTAACTTCTCATGCATACCAAAACTCTATTCCTTGCTCCAAAGTTTGAGATAGAGCAAAAGTGTGAAGTCTTAAGAAGGTGCAGGGTTGATATGCTGAATGATCATTTCTCATTTCACACACTATGTACTTTAATATGCAACATTTAAAGCTTTGAGTTGATGTTTTCTCCCATTCCAAGACATCAGAATTCCAAGTAACAGGATACCAAACAACTGAAGGGAAGAATGTTTCAATGCCAACTAATACTACAAAACAATTCACTGGAAGTGTATCAATCAATTTGAACTGACCAGCAAATTAGTTGCTTTACAAAACAAGGAAACATAACTTACGTTCACAGGATGGGACATCACCATCCCAACCTTCAGCTGTACATTGCCGGTAATCTCTACCCACTATCTTGTATCTAGAAAAAGAGAAGCCAACCGCTTGTTATCAATGAACAGGAGGTCACTTGAATGATATTCCTTCACTGACTAGATTATAAGGTCCAAAGTCAAATAGTTCTATGAAAATAGCAATAAACGTCAAAACATCTTAAAAATGGGATTAGGTCTGCAGATTAATGGAAGAATCAAATACAATTGTGTTTTTGTTAAATAAAAAGGCCTGGTCAGACTCCATTTAAATTACAGTGCACAAGAAATAATGATGCTTCTATCTCACTTTACAACTGATTTACGATCTAATCTAAACAGTTGAGAAACCATCAGACTCTGATGTCCACTGTTGATTTCAGATTATGGGTCTAGAAATCATTAATATATTCAGCTTTTCCAACTGTGCATTAATATTCAAGCTCTAACATCACTGACTTTAATCAGCATAGCCATTATTTTACAAATTCTCAGTTCAACATGAAACTGGAAAATTCAATCACAGCTCATGTGCTCAGCCATTGTCAGAAACGCTGTGCACAAGAGATGTCAGTCTAGACTTGTCATAATCATAACATTTAAATAATAGGCAAATTTTTTTATAATTTATTGACTGAATGCTCACCCAAAGTCACAATGAAAAAACATTTTATTTCCAACTGTCTCATCTGATGTCGTATAATGTCCATTCAGAATCTGCCCAGGGTTGCCACAGGCTATCGCTGCAGAGGAAATACAAATGAGTAAAGCTAGAAACAAAACTCAAACTCTACAATAGAATTTTTCACTGAAATACTTAACACAAACGTGAATAGCACAAAGAAATTGACAACAATATCAGGTTATTCCATATTTGGAATTCAGATTTCAGAGATATAACAACACAAAATCAAAACTTTCTCTTGATCTGTAAAACCTCAGAATAACAAGTGAATGAACCTGCACCAATCTTCAGCAGCAATTCAACATCACACACGTTCTGTATCTACCTTCTTAAGCCTATGCTAAGCAGCACACCATTGCTAGCAGTGTCACTATGACTGATGGCTGCTGCCATTCATGCTCGAGGACACATCAAAAGGATCTTCACTGAACACAAGGATATGAGTGATGTGAATGGGGGTTGGGATGGAGGATGTGTGGAGTCAGCCACCAGAAAATTGTGTGCAGTAAGTCACAAGTAACATCATTAAAATGGCTTTCAATGACCCCCACCCCCTTCCTTACACTGGGTACCATGATTGGGCACTGCGTGACTGACCATGAGGAACACCACTACAAGGCTGTAGTATTTACTGAGCTGCCTTCAGGAGTCAAGGGAGAGTCACACGTGTCCCATTCAATCTCTGAGGCTCAACTAACCTCTGATGGGCTCAGGGATAATTGTTCTCAAGCGGTTCAACCCACAATCCTATAGACTTCTCCTTTGCCCACCAACATCTCACAGCAGACAGCACTACCTGGGCCAGGCGAATTAAATCCTCCGAACCCACCATTGAGAATCTTTGAGACTGGGTGATAATACCGACCTCAACCCAGCTGATAACACTCTTTCCTTTCCCCAGACATAGCCAACAACAATCCACTGACTCACCTAATGGCAAACCCCACGTGTGCTACACAGCAATCCTCAAATCTGGCTGACAGCAGATAAGAAAGTGGTAATTCAGATCCCCACCCTCTGTATTATTTAAACATGGATAATTACCATTGATTGCCTCATTTCCTGTACCTTTAATTTCCATTGGCCCAAATTGCCAATTCCAAACTGCAACTAAAATGAGCATCTCCTAAACTTTCCATCACCCACTGAAAATCAGTTCTTTGCCCCAAACTAACACGGTGCTCGGGCAGAAAAATAAATTCTTCGGGAAGGAGTAAGAAGGATTTGATAACTGGTCATTTCTCATTTCATTGTCCATATGAAATGTGAATCAAAAAGCCATGAATAACCTTTTTCTCCTTTCAAAGAAAGAATTCCAAGCTCAAGGATTTCAAACTAGCGTGAGGCTGAAACTTTGGACATGATACATGATGACTCACTGTAAGTAATTCAGTCATTTTCTTCAGACATGCAAATCAGTGATTTTACAAAATAGAGAAATATAACTTACGTTCACAGGTTGGAACCTCACCATCCCAACCGTCAGCTGTACATTGTCGATAATCTCTGCCGATAATTTTGTACCTAAAAAAAGTAATGGTAAGCCACCTGTAATCAGACATGAAAATTATCCAAGAAAATGTGTCACTGAACAGAACATGTAGGGGTTCTAAGGTTCATAAAGGAAAAATCTATTCATCTATCAACAAAGCAAAATAAATCAAACATTGGACTAGGGTAGCAGAACAGTGAAACTTGATCAAATGCTGTTGCATTTCAGTTTTAAAAGCACCCCATAAAAGTACAGTGCAAATACAAAACATCAGCACATTAAACTCACTATCATGATGACTTCTAACATAAAAGTTAAACATTTTGTAGAAGCGGCACCAAGGGACATCTGATTTGTATCTCAGTGTATGGATCTTCTGACCATTAATACTTTGAACAGTTTTATTTTTGCATTCATATTCCTATTCCAACAGTAAAATTTCCCATCTTGATCATTACCAATGGTTTTGTTTAACTTGATGGTTGAAAGACTGGAATGGAAGCCTCACTCAGAATTAATATGAAGATCTTCCATGAAGGATGGAATTAATGTGCGGTCATCCAACACTGTCTTAATCATAACTTTATAATACTACAGTGTTTCACTAAAATTATTCAGTGAGTAATAAACTGAATACTCACCCAATGTCACAATAAAAGGTAACATTACTTCCAACTGTCCATTTTGATGCTTTATAATATCCATTCAGAATCGAACCAGGGTTTCCACAGTTTATTGCTATACAGAAAATAAAATAAGAGGCAGAAATATCAGAAAAATCCAAACGCCCCATCAGCTTTTTCATTGCAATTGACTAATCTTTATCGTGAAGTTGATATATACTACTACACAATTGCACAGATCATCAAGTTATCTCAATATTGATGTTCATTCCCCATTTTATGTTATTATTTATACAAGACCTTCTCTATATCTACATTCTCTCACACTAACTCAGCACTATATTGCCCAATAACAATCTTCAACAACAATTCAAGAGCATAGCAGACTGATTTCATTCTATCAATAGAACCATCAACATCAGTTGGTGAACCAGTGTGGATTCCTCATCACTTCCATGGAGAAGGCCCATTTTTTTTATAATTGCCCTTTGACCAGCATGGGCCTTCCAGGTAACCCAAGTCTCAGGTATGGAAAATGTCCTCCCCATGAGCTGCCAGACAGAGGTTGGCAGTTCTCCATCGTCAGCAACTCTACCAGGAGCAGTGGCTGCTCCTATGAATGTTTCAATGTCCAGCCTGAGGATCTATGCTGGCTTGCAGAGCATAGGTGTCTGGAATAGGAAGGGGTCACTGGAGAAGATCTGGGCATAATGCCCACACCCATTCACACTCTAGTGGGACCCATTTTATTCCAGTCAATGTCAGGTATCCATCAACTAACTAAATGTTGGGGACAAGTAGCCATGGAGGACAAAAGATATTTAAGAGTCCTTTTACAAAAAACTTCTGAAAATTAGAAAATGTTCAAGCTCTGCCCATGCACCCTTGTCACAGCAGTAGATAGCATATTCCGTGAAGTTTACAAATCTAAACAGTGTGTGTGATTATTCATTATCCTGCTGCTAGCATTTTGTCAATCAGTGTGAATGCCCATCTGACCACAACATCCTCACAGTGATCAACCCTCCCTCACCAAGATGTCCTATGCACTCCACCACCACCCCCACCCCAGCCCCCAGGGGTATCAAGTCCCATGGAGAATATTGGGTTCCGGCCTCTGGTGGATGTTTGTCTGGTCTAGGGAGGAGCATCAGGCCAGCTGTCGTGTTTGTTGGGTCTGAGGTCGGGAGGCGGTCTCGGGTTATTGGGGAGATGGGCTTTTGGTTCAAGGACAGGAATCAGGCGGGTTGTGTCCAGGAGATGTCACGCTAGGCAACGGAAGCAGCGTGGGTGGTGTTGGCTCCAGGATGCCATGTCCAACAAGGTGGGGGGAGGGGGTGAGTTGGGGTGGGGTGTTAGTTGGGTCCAGTCATGGAGTCAGCGTAGGGGGCACAACAGTGTAGATTGGGGGGTCAGTGGTGACGTCTGGGTCAGATTTATAGTTACCCAGGAGTTAGACCTTGTTTTTAGTCCTCTCAGTACTCCTGCATAATTATTCAGTTTAGTTAAGGCAGCATTCTCATAATTCTTTGACGTGAATGCATTCTTCCCAAGGAGTCCAGATGCAGGAGATTTGCCCATCGAAAATTAAATGTTCTGGGCAATACCCAAAGAGTCAGCAGTCTCTGAGATTCCCTATGTTTCCAGTGCACAACTCCAGTCTCTGTTGCTTTAATGGTTCTGGTCATCGGAACATCTGGGACCTAAATTGACAAGTGTGTTATAGTTTCTTGACCAAGGAAACAGCTCTGTGAACGCTTATCTTCCTCAGGAGCCTTACATTAGCATGCTAATAAATATATTTTGGAAAATCACCATTTATGATTGACTGGCAGTCAAGTATCAACCCCAATAGTTACATCCTCAATGAAGGCTGATAAATTTGCCAAACAGCATTTCCTTTTTGTAAAATCATATTGTCTTGTTTTGATCATGTTATAGTTTTCTAAGTGTGTTGGTGAAATTTTCTAAACAAATACTTAATTTCTTTGTTCTTAACATTTACAGCTCTACCCACCATCTTGTATCTAGAAAATGAGAAATAAACCATTTGTATTAGGAACCTGAAATTTACTTACGCAACATTAGTACTCTGACCAGATTAGTATTGCAAATAATCAAAGAGAAATAAAACCATCAAAATAGCATTTTTTCCCAATAACTGATCTTAGGCTTACTGGTGTGCAGTACTCTGCTGACTTTGTCCCTCCCTCCTTCTCTCTCTCTCTCTCATTCACACACACACACACACACACACACACACACACACACACACACACACACACACACACACACACACACACACACACACACACACACACACACACACACACACACACACACACACACACACACACACACACACACACACACACAGTCTCTCACTGCTTTCGTATCTCTCTTATTCACCTGAAAGATCATGGATATCCATATCAACAGCATTATCTGCTTTCCCTTAGCACCATCACAATTATCATCATTCATCATTCTTGTCACTTCATCACTATCTATTTCTTTGACTTATGCATCAACTAAAGCAACAGGATTGGTGCTCTAACGCAACTAAATCTGACATGCATAGACATATTAGGATCTTTAAGTGAGAATGGAAAAGGAAGAGAAGAGATTCAGGGTAGGATTAAAGTATGGATTATTAACATCGATTTGACTCTTCCTTTATCTTCTATTTCCTTCCCAAGATCTCCCATGGCAAAAGCAGCATTTGGCATCAACTCAAGCTCCACTAACATTGTAAACCCAAAAGTGTCTCATCGCACATCAAAACCTATCTCCTTGGTCAGAGCACAATTGATGTAATGAAAAGCCATTTCTTGTTTCATATATCATGTTCCTTTAATGTTGATTAAATAATTGAATAGGTATTTCCACCCATTACAAGAAATCAGAATTCCAAGCTGGAGGATGTTAAAATGTTGTTGGGAAGAAAACTTGTATGTCAACCAACACTGGAGGTTGATGCACTGAACTGAGTCAGTCATTTGACACTGAACAGCAAATCAGTCATTGCACAAACAGTGAAACATAACTTACGTTCACAGAATGGGACATCACCATCCCACCCCTCAGCTGTACATTGTCGATGAGCTCTACCCACCATCTTGTATCTAGAAAATGAGAAATAAACCATTTGTACTAGGAACCTGAAATTTACTTACACAACATTAGTACTCTGACCAGGTTAGTATTGCAAAGAATCAAAGAGAAATAAAACCATCAAAATAGCAATAAACTGCATGAAATATAAAATATGGGACTAGGTCCGCAGATTCATGAAGGAATTCAATGCAATTGTGTTGACAAAAAATGTAGTGCTCTGACCATGTATAAATTATATTGTTGTATATATCTCCCTTTAGAGCTGATTTGCAGTACAACGGTCAGTACTTATGGGGAACCAGCAGACAAAAATATCCATTATTGATCTCAGATAATGGATCCAGGAAGCATTAATATATCCAGCATTTCCACCTTTCTATTAATACAGCAACCCCAGCAACAAAATCATAGAAACATCATAAATGTGTAGACTTCTTCAACATTCGTCAGATCAATGCTAAACTAGAATAGTCAATCAGAGCTCTCATCCAGAGCCATCATCAGAAAAGCTATGCATGAAAGATGGCTGTCTGAAGTTGTCTTAATCACAGCATTAAAATAACACTGTCCATCACCAAATTCATTCAGTAATTTATTTACTGAATACTCACCCAAAGTCACAATAAAATATAACTTTATTGGCAACTGTCTCATCTAAAGCCTTATATTGTCCATTCAGAATCTCTCCAGGGTGACCACAGGTTATTGCTGCACAGAAAATACAATGAGGAAATAGAAATGTTACAAAATTCCAAAATGTCCACCAGCTTTTCATGTAATATGTGACATGAAGACTGACTACAATGAAAGTGAACACATCACCATGATATACCAAATTTAGAATTCAGTTTTCAGTATTCTAGCAACACAAAGGCAACACTTTTCCTTAATCTGCTATACCTCACAATATCAGGGCACTATCTGTCTACAAACCAAAGAAACATCAACATGCATCAGTCTTCACCTGCAATCCTAAATGAAAATGCTAGCAAACCACCCACTTAAAAGACAGGCTGGCAGTGTTCCATTGTCAGCCACATCACCAGGTGTGGTAGCTTCTGGCGCTGTTAATAATTCAAGGCCCAGTCCAGGGATCTCTGTTGGATCCAAAGCTTGCCTGTACACCAACAGTATACAATAATTAATTGAAAGTGGCTCAATCATTTTGTGCAGACATGCAGGTCAGTTATTTTACAAAACAGAGAAATATGACTTACGTTCACATGATGGAACTTCACCATCCCAACCCTCAGCTGTACATTGTCGATAACCTCTGCCAATAATTTGGTATCTACAATAGAAACAGGCATAAAGGTTCACTTAAAAAGTGTGCCACTGCACTGACAAGGAAAGAAAATTTAAGTTTCACAGAGTAAAAGTTTATTTAATAAACTATTTTTTAAAAAGTATGAAAGTAATTGCAGAATATTCAGAATGAAAGAATTGCTGTTACAGTGAAGATTAAACTCAAATTGCTCATTCAACATAATATCAAGTGCATTTTACAGGAGAAATATTGCAGAATAAAGCTCACTTTTGCAGTGACATCTGATATAATTTAAAACTTTTGAAAATCCAGCAGACATGAACAACATTTTTCATGTCACTTTATGGATTTTGTCAAATGAACTGTTCCATCCTTGCATTAATCCTCCTGTTGTACTGCTAGAGTCCCATGCCTTGATCATTATAACTTGATTTTTTTAAATTGCCAGTTGAATACTAAAATGAAAGACTACCTCATTGCTAGCACGAAAAGATTTCATCAGAAAAATAAAGAACATGAAACAATTTAAAACACAATGTTAAAGTAATGTAGTCCATAATTAACAATATTCAGTCCTTTATATTCTGAATACTCACCCAATGTCACAATGAAAGGTAACATTACTTCCAACCGTCCAATCTGATGCTTTATAATATCCATTCAGAAGTGAGCCAGGGTCACCACAGTTTATAGCTACAAAGGAAACAAATGATTTGTATGTGAATATAGGAGGTATGGTTCGTAAGGCAGCAGATTACACAAAAATTGCAGGTGAATTGGACAGGGAGGCAGGTTATCTCAGAGTACAACAGGACCTTGATCAGATGGGCCAATAGGCTGAGGAGTGGCAGATGCAGTTTAATTTAGGTAAACGTGAAGTGTTGCATTTTGGTAAGGCAAATCAGGGCAGGACTTATAGGTCTAATGATAGGGTCCTGGGAAGTGTTACCAAACAATGAGATCTTGGGGTGCAGGTTCATAGTTCTTTGAAAGTGGCATTCCAGGTAGACAGGATAATGAAGAAGGCATTTGGTATACTTGTCTTTATTGATCAGTGCATTTAGTTGGGATGTCATGTTGCAGCTGTACAGGCATTGGTAAGGGCACTTTTGGAATACTGTGTTCAATTCTGGTCTCCCTGCTATAGGAAAAATGTTGCTAAACTTGAAAGCATTCAGAAAAGAATTACAAGGATGTTGCCAGGGTTGGAGGGCTTGAGCTATAGGAAGAGGTTGAATAGGCTGGGGCTATTTTCTCTGAAGCATCAGAGACTGAGGGGTGACCTTACAGAGGTATATAAAATCATGACAGGCATGTCTAGGGTGACTAGCCAATGTCTTTTTCTCAGGTCAGGGAGTCCAAAACTAGAGGACATAGGTTTAAGGTGAGAGGGGAAAGATTTAAAAGGAACCTAAGGGGTAAACATTTCATGCTAAGGGTGATGCATGTATGATGCTGCCAGAGGAAGTGGTGGAGGCTAGTACAATTATAACATTTTAATCGGCATCTGGATGGTTAGATGATTATGAAGAGTTTTGACGGATATGGGCCAAATGCTGGCAAATGGGACAAGATTGATTTAGGATATCTGGACAGCATGGACAAGTTGAATGAAAAGGTCTGTTTCTGTGCTGTACAACTCTTTGTCTCTATGAAAAATCAAAAGAACTGCAGATGCTGTAAATCAGGAACAAAAACAAAGTTGCTAGAAAAGTTCAGCAGGTCTGGCAGCATCTGTGAAGGAAACAACAGAGTAAACATTTCTGGTCCAGTGACCCTTCCTCAGAACTGTTCTTCCCCAGTTCTGAGGAAGGGTAACCAGGCCCGAAACGTTTACTCTGCTTTTTCCTTCACAGATGCTGCCAGACCCGCCGAGCTTTTCCAGCAACTTTGTTTTTGTGTCTTTGACTCTATGATTCAATTTGACATTGAACAGCAAATCAGTTACTTCACAGAACAGTGAAACATAACTTACGTTCACAGGATGGAACATCACCATCCCATCCCTCAGCTGTACATTGTCGATAAGCTCTACCCACCACCTTGAATCTAGAAAGAGAAACAAACCATTTGTAATAGGAACCTGAAAGTTACTTCCACAATATTAGTGCTCTGACCAGGTTAGAATTCCAAAGGATCAAATCCATCAAAATAGCAATAAACTTCATAAAAGAAAAACATGGGACTAGGTCTGCAAATTTATGAAGGAATTCAATACAGTTATGTTGAAAAAAACGTTGTGTTCTGCTAATATATAAATTATATTGATGCATCTGTCCCTCTTTAGAGCTGATTTGCAATACAAAGGTCAGCACTTAAGAACCAGCAGACATCAATATCCAGCATTGATCTCAGATAATGGATCAAGGGATATTCATGTTTTCCATGTTTTCATTAATACAGCAACCCCAGCAACAACATCATAGAAACATCATGACAACACAGATTTGTTTATTCAGAATTTTCAGTTCAAGGCTAAATTAGAATGGTCAATCAGAGCTCTCATACTAAGCCCTCATCAGAAACGTTATGCACGAGAGATGGTTATCTGTAGTTGTCTTAATCTCGGCATTAAAATCATACTGCCCAACATCAAAATCTGTTCAGTAGTTTATTTATTGAATACTCACCCAATGTCACAATAAAAAATAACCTTATTTGCAATTGTCTCATTTAGAGCCTTGTAATGCCCATTCAGAATCTCTCCAGGGTGACCACAGATTATTGCTGCACAGAAAATACAGTAAGGAGATTGGAATGTTACAAAACTCAAAACTCCAGCAGCTTCTTTCATGTAATAGACAACGTGAAGATGAATACAGTCAAGATACAGTAAGTTTAGAATTCAGTTTTCTATATTCTAGCATCCATAAAGACAAGACATTCTCTTAATCTGTTATGCCTCACAATAGCAGGGTAATGTCTATCTACAAAACAAATATGCATCAACATGCATCAGTTTTCATTCAATCATTTTTTACAGACACACAGGTCAGTTACTTTACAAAACAGGGAAATATAACTTACGTTCACACGATGGAACCTCACCATCCCAACCCTCAGCTGTACATTGTTGATAATCTCTGCCAATAATTCTGTATCTAAAAAGGAAATGTGATCTGCCTGTTAGCAGACATGAAGATTAACTGAAAAAGTGTGTCAGTGTGCTGTCCAGGTAGGAAATCTGAGGTTTACAGAGGAAAAATGTATTAAACAATAAAGAAACTGTTTAAAAAATTAACATTATACTAAATTTGCAGAAGAATCAAAAGGAACCAAATGCTGTTACATTGTGCTTAAATGGTTCATCAGACACAATTTAAAGAACAGTGCATGGGATCCTCATTATAAACATTGCATGTTGCATCTTCAAAGAATGCTAGGAAATTAGTCAAACACCATTTATCCTTCATAAAACCTTGCTGACTCTGATGGATTATGTTTTGATTTTCCAAATGTTCTGTTATTACTTCCTTAATAATGGATTCTAACAATTTCCTGATGACACATGTTAAACTAACTGGTCTGTAGTTTTTTCTTTTATCTCGTTCCCTTTTTGAATAAAAATCACCATTTTTCCAATCCACTGAAATCTTTCTTGCATCAAAGGAATTTGGGAATACTGTAACTAATGGATGCACCATCTCTGCTGCCACTTCCTTCAAGACACTCAAATATAGGCCATTGAGCCCTTGGGGCTTGTCAATCCCAACAGTTTGGTAGTACATTTTTTCCGTACCGATGATGATTTTTCTAAGTTCCTCCCTTTCTATAACATCTTATCTTCCATAACATCTTTCTATAACATCTATAACATATAGGAGTTTGGTTTGACCACATTTGGAATACTGCGTACAGTTCTGGTCGCCACATTACCAAAAGGATGTGGATGCTTTGGAGAGGGTGCAGAGGAGGTTCACCAGGGTGTTGCCTGGTATGGAGGGCACTAGCTATGAAGAGAGGTTGAGTAGATTAGGATTATTTACATTAGAAAGACAGAGGTTGAGGGGGGACCTGTTGAAGTCTACAAAATCATGAGAGGTAATAGACAGGGTGGATAGCAAGAAGCTTTTTCCCAGAGTGGGGGACTCAATTACTAGGGGTCACGATTTCAAGGTGAGAGGGGAAAAGTTTAAGGAGATATGCGTGGAAAGTTCTTTACGCAGAGGCTGGTGGGTGCCTGGAATGCGTTGCCAGCGGAGGTGGTAGAGGCGGGCACGATAGCGTCATTTAAGATGTATCTAGACAGATACATGAATGGGCAGGGAGCAGAGGGATATAGATCCTTGGAAAATAGGTGACAGGTTTAGATAGAGGATCTGGATCGGCGCAGGCTTGGAGGGCTGAAGGGCCTGTTCCTGAGCTGTAATTTTCTTTGTTCTTTGTTCTTGTTCTATCCGAATTACCTGTTATCACTGGGATAGTACTAGTATCCTCCCACCCTGAAAACTGAAACAAAATATTAATTTAGCAACACTGCCACTTCTATGCTCTCTACTACTAACTCCCCAGTCTCATCGTCCAAGGGACCAACATTCACTTTATCTGCTCTCTTCCCTTTTATGTACTCATATAAGGTTTTGCTGTCCATTCTACATTTTGTACTAGTTTACTTTCATAATTACATTTGCTCATTTTATAACATTTTTATTAACTCTGTTGATCTTTAAAAGTTTTCCAGTCAACCAGCCTCCCACTTGCATGTGCAATATGGCACGCCTTCGTTTTCATCTTTATATTATCTTTAACTTCCTGCTTAGGCATGAAAAGATGTCTTCTCCTCCCCTTACAATCTTTCTTTCTTTCTGGAATATATTTTGTTTGGGAGAAATTAAGCATCTCCTTAAACATTTGCCACTGCTCATCAACTGCTCTATCTGTTAGTCTTCCTGCCGAGTCAGCCAGGACTAGATCTGTCTTCATGTCAGTAATTATCTTTGTTTTAACCTGAATTGCTAATGTTAGACTCCAGTTTCTCACCCTCCAGCTGAACTTGAAGTTCTAGCATTCTATGATCACTCTTCCTAGAATATCCTAATTATAAGATCATTAACCAATCCCATCTCATTACATGCCAAATCCAGAACAACCTGTTCCCTGGTTGCTTCCCTGACATACGGCTCCAAGAAACAATCTCTAATATATTCAATGAACTCTCCATCGAGGCTCCCCTTGCCTATTCAAATATAAAAAACACTCATGATGACTACTGTACCTTTCTTACAACCCCTCTGTACTTCCTGGTTTATACTGTGCCCCATGGTGAGACTACTATTTAGGGGCCTGTAGATTACTCCTACCAGGGACTTCTTTCCCTCACTATTTTTTATTACTACCCAAACTAAGTTTACATTCTTGTTCTCTGGTGCTGATGTCATTTCTCACTACAACACCAATCTCTTCCTTTACCAACAAAGCTACACTACCTCATTTCCCTTACTGTATTCTTCTGAAACACTGAGTACTGTTGGATATTAAATTTCCAAACCTGGTTTACTTGCAACCGCGTCTCAGTAATTGCCACCAAATCATACAATTTTCTCTATTCATGCTGTTAACTCATTAATTTATTCCAAATGCTTTGTGCATTCAAATATGAAGTCTTTAAGTGTGTTCTATAATCAAATTTCCCTATTCTTGTATGAATCCTTGGTGTGTTATGATGTTCACACATTCTATCCTTCCCTAAACTCATCACTAACCTGTGCTAAGATAACAAGGTGTAGAGCTGGATGAACACAGCAGGCCAAGCAGCATC